TGCGGTCTCTTCCAACTCTATGATTCTATGAAACCTAACTTTTGCCTTTTTCAAACCCCCTGGTTAGCCTACTAGCCCCATTTTTTTTAATTTAAAGATTATTTTTGGTTCAAGTTACCATTTCCAGATGATTTGGGAGGTTGTTGGGGAAGACATATGACAAACTACTTTGCATGAATGTCATTTTAATGTATTTTTATTGATTTCAGGCCAAAAATAACCCCAAAATTAACCCCCCCAGTCTTTAAATGAAAAAATAAGGCTGGTAGGCTGACCAGGGTATTCCAAGAATGGAAAAAATGAGTTGGGTACTTAACCTCCCCAATCCTTGGTTAAATATATGTGTGCACATAGCAATCTCTACTGTATCTGTATGAGCATACAGATCAGCAGAATGTGTACACATATACACAGATGTCCAAGCTGAGTTCAGAGAAGGAAGAGGCACTAGGGATCATATTGCAGGCATAAATTGGATAATGCAGTGCTTTAAATAATTCTAGAAGAAAATCTGTTCTTTTTAGATTGCAGCAAAGCCTTTGATTGTGCAGATCATGAAAAACTATGAATTGCTATTAAAGAAACGATGTGCCATAACATTTGAATGACTTATTCAATTCCCAGATTCAAGAACCACCCATCCATATACTGCAAGGATGGTTCTTAGGAGTGACTGTATCAGTGACTTCTTCCACTCACTATTCCACAGTGAGACTAAGACCTTAATAGAATGAATAGCCTTATGGCTATAGAAAATCCTTTGAATTTAAGAAGTCTGTCAGGGTGGACCATCTTAACTGGCTCTCCCATCCTTAAAACAAGAATCTGCTATCACCAAACCAAAGTTTATAACAAACTGATTTGGCCATGACAACTGGTTGCACCCCTCCCAGATATCCTCCATTTGCCTAACTGCAAAAAACCCCAGATCCAAACTTTATCCCCCCACATGTGTGGGGCCAACAGTGTGCAGACATGGAATCAAGGTAGCCATAAGGTTCTAGGCAATTCCACTGGGACACCTTCTGTGGATGTTCAAGTTCTCCCAGACACATTCTGGGTTCTCCAGCACCACCTCTGAGACAACTTTGGTCAGCTCAAACAGGGACACCACTGAGCAATGGGGTGGGTGATAACACCAGTTGAACTTTGTGCTATATATTTGGCCTAGCAAAAGGTAAAAACCTTTAACAATGGTGCTAGGTGAGATAGGTTTCTTCATGAGAGAGGTGGAATCCCCATGGATGATAGCAACTCCATCCTGGTCTCACAGTCTAGCTTGGTGCTTCCTGATTATACGCATGGACAAAACTGAGATAGGTCCATTTCTTCTTCTCCTCCTCCTCCTCCTCCTCCTCCTTATATCCACCTTTCTCCCAGTTCAGGACTCAAGATAGCTCAGAACACTTAAGACAAACATAGCTAAAAACTAACAATGTACATAAGTTAAAAGTGTAATTAAACTATCAAAAAATTAAAGCACATTTAAAAAATGGCAACAGCCATGCTAACTAAATATGGGGATTTGGAACTAAAATTGTCATTAATTACTACATAAAATAAATTCACAATGTCTGAGAGAAAGTACCAAATCTCAGGAAGCAATCTCTGTCACAGAGGCATTGTTTACATCAAGAAACAGAGCTGGATCCAGTAGCACTCTCAAAACTATGAACCTAATCCAGAAGGGAATGCAATGCCATCCAGAACAATATGATACTATGACTGTGCTGTTATTTTCCTCACAATCAATGTTTCTGCCACTTCTGGATTTATAGGCTTCAGCTAATAACTAGATTGTAGCCCATGATGGACTCTTTAAGTTCCTGTCCTGGGAAACATCAGCTGCTACTCTTGAATTAGATGAACA